TTGGACCACTGCTACCCAAAGTTAAGGTCCATGGACCACAGTTGGTTCGTGCATGACCTCCAGGAAAGAAAGAAACAATTTCAGCCAGTAGACACAAATACAGTGTTGGACACCGCACATTAGAAAATAAAAAATTGCTGGTATCACACATCAATTAGATTGAGAACAGCTTTAGAACAGTATTGGTTTCTGTCCTATAATGTTGTCGGTGGCTGCATTGTAACACCAGCCATGAGTGTCTTCAAAAAGTAAATTTTGCATTGTTTTTATTTGGGGTTTGTAAACAGGATATGTATGCCCCTGCCTTGCCAGGCTTAGGAGCAGGAGAGGGATGAGCCCTTCCCATTTTGTCAAGAGCCATCTTTCCCTTTTGTTGTTCCCACCCTCGCAGATTTCCTCTTGTTCTTTTCCACAGGATACAGGAACTTCCCATTTAGTTCCATGGGTCATATCTTTATACATAGGAAATGCTGTTTACCACAACACACCCAGTTTATCACAGTCCAACCGTGGTGTAGGCATCACTGGACTTCTGGTCTTTTTTCTCCTAAACTACCTGCTAAAGAGATATTAATCTGTGGCTCATAAACTGAATGCCAGCATAAAATGAGAGAACAAAGCCACACAACTTTAATGAAATATATAGTATTGAAGAGGGAAATTGAGAAAAGCCAGTCTTTTTCTTGCTCTGGAATAAAGCCCAGCACCCTTTCTCCACAGAAATGTCTCCTCTCTTGCTACAGGAAGTACCATTTAGTGTAAAACAGCAAAGGAGCTTCTTTAGATAATTCATGAAATAGTGATTTGTGATAGCCAGTAGTTTTCCTTAAAAGGTTATAATCTGTTGGTGTCTCCATATGTATTTATTACTGTCAAAAGACCTAAAGTGAAATATTTTCAGAGGTGCAATGCTTATGTGGCATAGGATGCCATGTGGGAATAGCATGTTTCCTTTAAACTGAATGTGCCTCGCTAAATCTTTCTGTGATAGCCTTTCTCCCATGAGTGTTGTCCCATAACTATTCTCCCATAGGTGTTGAATCATAGCTAATCAAATGTACTTTGAAAAATGACCCAAACATCTTGAGTCCAAAATGTAGTATTAAAGTTAGCAGTCTTCTCTGGAAACCTTCCTCATTTCATCAGGTGAGACAAAGAAGAAGGTGAAAAAGAGAAAGGATTTTTTGGTTGTAGCGTCTTGTCTGGTTAATTTCTTCTTCTTCTTCTTCTTTTTTTTTTTGAAGAATCATTTGGTATCTATACTTTTATTTTCTTTACGCATGCATTGTTTAGCATCTTTGGGTCCCACAAATTATTGTGGCAGTTTACAAAACAAAAATAAACTTTTAAAACCCATTTTCCTAATTCCAGCAGACCTCACTACCTCTGAGGATGCTTGCCATACATGCAGGCGAAACGTCAGGAGAAAATGCCTCTAGAACATGGCCATATAGCCTGAAAAAACCCACAAGAACCTAGTGATTCCAGCCATAAAAGCCTTCGACAATACATTAAACTTTTAAAATGATAGATGAATTTTAAGAGCTCTTTATTTTCCAAAATTTCAAAAATGTTATAAATGTTCAGTACCAGTTATGGTATTTTCTTCCTTTACTGGTATTTTGTATTCAAATTCTTTATGATTTCTGTAAAAAGGTGACATTTCTGTATTGAAACAAAGAATAACTTTGTTAAGCAAACATAGTAATTGCCTTCATAATACGTGACAATTCTTTGTCTCTAGCTACATTTATTTATATTACTCATAAGATTTGTATTCCATCCTTCTTTGAAAGAACTGAGGTCAACTTTTCTGTTAGAGCATTGAACTATACAACTCTGGAGACCAGGGTTTGAATTCCTTCTTAGCCATGAATACACAATGGGTGACCCTGGACATGTTACACCGTCTTACCCCCAGAGAGAGGCAATGGCAAACTCCATGATAGATTAGTTTGCCTTAGGGTCAGCATGAGTTAGAAGTGAGTTGAACGAACACATCAATAGCAGCAGACTTTTTTGTTGGGGGGGGGAACGGGACTCTGAATCACCCAGAGTAATTGCCCCTCTTTTAATCTAGGATTGTCACATCCAAATTTAGCACAGGAATAAAATACACCACATTGACTTTGATTAGGGAGAAATTCAGTACTTTGTTACAATTGCCTTGGTGCCCAACTCCTGCAGATATTTGTTAACATGACTGCTTGCTGCTGTATCTATATGCCTCATTTGTGTCTAAATGCCTCATTTGTAAAGGCCTCTCTTGGGACATGGAAATCAGTCCCTCCCATTTCCTCTTGCTTGTGTGGTTATTCTTGTGATGGGAAAGGAAGTGGTTTCCAGTAATCCCTGAAGAATTCTGGTTGGTTTTTGGTGATCTCACTTGGATTTCCCCATAACCTCCCTCCCCCAGCAGAGAGAGTGACATCAACAGGAAAGCAGGCTGATGCAACCGGGAGTAACAAATTTCTGCTGAAAAGCTATGGAAGAGAAACTGGTTTGAGTTCATGTGGGAAGGTGCATGTAATTCTAAAAGAACTGCAGTGTTCCTGTTTAAGTGGGATTTTTACAGCAGAGATTCCCGATTATTATTTGGATAGGGGGTCTTGATTTATTTCTTAATGGGAGGATCTAATGTTTTTAATGTGTTAGCATATTGGACATTGCTCTTCTCACTTCCTTTTATCTTTTAAAGATATGAATTAAATATTCCTTTTACACTTACTTGCAAAGCAGACCATTGACAATCAACATTATCCAGATGTCTCTTGGAAATGTAATTACTGTCCATGATCACAGAATAACTACAATTGGAAAAACTTGGTGTCCTTAAATCAGATGTGTAGTGCACCTAAGAAATAATAATAGCTTGTTATGTTTTGAAGTGAAAAAAGTAGAATAGCAGTACCAGATTGTTCACAGTTGTACCCCTGAAAATGTTTAGAAAGGGGTTATTTCCATTTCTGTATATTCTGGAGCAGTAAGGATTTTACACTGAATAAAGAGTTCTAGGGATCAAACAGGACATTAAATCCTATAGCTGTCTCACAAGTACTATGATTGTCTTTTCTGTATCCTGATGTAGAGTTAGTGATAGCTTGAGTCTTAGTGTTAGTTCCATTCTGCCAAGAATCTTGTTTGCAACATTCTGAAAACACTTGTCACTGAGATGCTACTTATGATGTTAGTATATCTGTGTATGTAATCATATGTGTTGTCTTTGCAACAATTTTCTATATACAGCAGTACAATGGAGCAAATGAATTTGAGAATCCTAGGATCCATAGAGAATGCCTATACAACATGCCCCTTGAATCATTAGAGAGAGTGCAAATGATTAATTAAAGTAATCAAATAGTTAAAATAGCAAGTGGATTTATACTGTGTTGCTATGGCTTCAGGATTCGCTAATCTTGCATCTCATCAATTGTATTTTGCATTGAATGCCTATTTTGCTGCTTCTGGGAACCTAAATGGTGATGATGTTTTGCAGTTTCGCAATTTGCAGGTGAAATAAAAATACATCTTGCCACCCTTCAGTTAATAATAGGGTTTAGATCCTCAATCTGGTACATTTTAATCATAGGATGAAAGTGCAGTCATGTTGCTGGGTTGGCATCACTCCAAAAAAAGGCAGTATGAATATTTCAGTTTCTCATGTCACACCCAGACACAACAACAAAGATTTTAGTCAACTGTTCACAAATCCAGACACTGTTAAAGAACTGCGGTTTGGTCCAGTGAGCTTACCAGGGCAGCTAAAGAAGAGAGCTAGAATAAGGACTTTGCCTTAGGCCTGTCATTTCTCTTGGCACATCATATACTTTTGTGCCGGGACTGGTGTGCTACATCTTCTGGCTCAAGGTTGCAGTTGTGGGATCTGGAAAGAAATTGTATTAGTATAACTGAGTAACAAAATCAAGTACCTGTCTTTTTGAGAGAAACTTTCTGGATAGAGGACACACACATGTGCATCACATATATGCCTTCTATAAATATATTGTGATCAGTAGCTGAGAGCTTTATAGATCTATATATAGAACAGATTCATAAATATGTGTTGGTTTGTCTCTTCAATAGGTCAAAATCTTACTTGTGGTCCGTTATCCCTTCCTTTCTCATAATTACATATGTACACTGAATTTGGGAGAGGGACTTTTGTCCTTGCACTTGCTATTTCATTTAATTTCAATGTGCATGACAGATGGCATTTCTTTTTTATATTCCACTAGCCATCCCCTGCCATGTGTTGCTTTGGCCCAGTCTGTGTATATGAGTTTTGTGTGTGCATGTGTGTGTATATATTTGTGTATATGTGTGCGTGCGTATACATATATGTGGTTTTGTGCATGCGTTGTAATGTATTTTTATTTTATGGGTTTTTAAATATCTTCTGCTGTGTTTTTCAGTGTTTTTATGAGTGATAGTCACTTGTTGGCCAGATAGGTGTATTGTGTCCAAATTTGGTGTCAATTCGTCCAGTGGTTTTTGGGTTATGTTAATCTCACAAATTAACATTACATTTTTATTTATATAAATGGATAAAAGCGGGGTGGGGTGGTTCATCTTTTTCATGCCAGATAATGGCAGTAGCAAGAGGGCAGTTAAAATATTCTGTAACATCCCAGCTACTTAGGTCTCAGCCTTCATAAATGTCTTCTGAAAAACACAGGTATTCTCCTCTCTTATTTAATCCTATTTTCCTTAATGGAAAGCATGCAGAGAGGAAGGATACAGTTGCTTTTTTCTGGAAGTATGCACTGACCAGAACTGTTGGCAAGGGGTCTGTTGTTAAGCAGAACAAAAGTCATTCAGTCTTGTTTTTTTTAGAATCAAATGGTCTAACAGAATATGAGGGTAATTTAGTAGGCATTCTTTTCATTATTCTGCATTTCAGAAAAAAATGAAGTAAAAACTGAGTTGTGAACCCATGCACAAGCATTCTTCTTTCTGAAAATGACGTGTAGACTAATTCAAAGTCACTGTTATTTTTGCAGGATGAGCTAATTGACTGGGAGAAGCCTATTCTGTCACAGACTGAGATTGAGCAGAAGATAAAGGAATATAATAGTCAAATCAACAGCAACCTTTTTATGAGCTTGGTAAGTCTCAGCAAATGTATAATAAAAATAATCTGACACCTGAACCTCTAAGGCCTGTTTGTTCCCTCTCAACTAACCCCTTAAAAGTGTTATATAGTAACTATTCCATGCATGGGATTCTGTCCCTAATTTAGTGGCATCCTCAGTTCTAACTGGTTCCCCTTTAGTTTAGTACAAAATGTTGATTGTAATCTTCAAAGGTCCTACATGGTTTGGGTTCAGCTTCTCCCATACAATCCACCCCTTAGAACACTGAGGTCCTCAGGAGATACTTTACTCCAGCCAGCCATAAGCTGACTCTCAACAGTCACCCAGAGGACCTTTTCATAAGCCACCTCACAGCCATGGTATGACTTGCCAGAAGAGAGCTGACAGCTAAATGAGCTGTCATTTAAGACACAACTAAAGACCCATTGCTTTCAGTATGTCTACCCAATCAACTTTGCATCATGAGTTTTGGATCTGCATTATATTCCCACTGTATATTGATCTTTATACCCTGTATTTGGATATCTGTATTTTGTTGTGTGCATTTTATGTTGATACATTTTGACCAGGAGTCCTCAAACTAAGGCCCAGGGGGCGGATACAGCCCTTTAAGGTCATTTACCCAGCCCTCATTCAAGGTCAACCTAAGTCTGAAATGACTTGAAAGCACACAACAACAACAACAACAATCCTATATCATCAGGAAAAAGCAGGCCCACACTTTCCATTGAAATACTAATAAGTTTATATTTGTTAAAATTGTTCTTCATTTTAATTATTGCATTGTTTTAAAGTATTTTTTGCGCTACAAATAAGATATGTGCAGCGTACATAGGAATTTATGTTTCTTTCAAATTATAATCCAGCCCTCCAACAGTTTGGGGGACTGTGACCTGGCCCTCTGTTTAAAAAGTATGAGGACCCCTGATTTTGACTGTTACACCCTGCCTCAAGCCATTAGGAGAAACCGGTAACAAATACAATTTATTATTATTATATTATAATTATTGTGAAACCTCTCATTTAGGACCTTCTTATCCCAGAGGCATCATCTAGAGCAGGCATGGGTAAACTTCGGCCCTCCAGGAGTTTCGGACTTCAACTCCCAGAAATCCCAGCCATCTTACTGGCTGTTAGGAATGGTGGGAGGGAGGAAATTTGCCCATGCCTGATCTGGAGTGTTTCTGCAGAACTTCTTTAAATTTTTCTTGACTTCTTGGTTGCTAAAGCCTCCTATCTGATTTTGGGAGGTGTGCCCTGCCCCTTCTGACCAACTGACTTTGATTGTCTTTACACAGAACAAAGATGGTTCCTACACTGGCTTTATCAAGGTGCAATTAAAGCTGATCCGGCCTGTCTCAGTGCCTTCCAACAAGAAGGCACCCTCCATCCAGGACACCAGGAAAAGCTCCTCCCGCAGCCAAGCTGTAAAACGTCGTACCTCTTTCTATTTACCCAAGGACACAGTTAAGCACTTACACATAATTTCTCGTACATGTGCCAGTGAAGTCATTGAGGCCCTCCTGAAGAAATTCATGGTAGTTGACAACCCTCGCAAGTTTGCCCTCTTTGAGAGAACAGAAAAAGATGACCAAGGTACATCTTGGGGGTCGGGTGCAAATAGCTATTTTTTAAAATTGTTTTCAGACAACCAGGAAGTCAAGGTTTTATTAAATGGTAAGGAGTATTTTCTGTATTTTTTACAGTATTTATATACCGCTTTTCTCACTTCTGTAAGTAAGTAGATAAGTAAGTAGGTGGGAACAGTCAGGCTAATAATATTTTCCAACCAGGAACATAAGTCTAATTTATTCATATATTTTCACTAATAAATGATATAATCTAAATCACTCATAGCAAGTTTGTTCACTTTCTCATGAAGAATGATTGAAAATGCAGTCCTGACTTCATTTGTGAAAGGTTAGCAGATGAACCTGTGGTGCTGTTTTTATTACTCTGGTTTAATTATTATTAATTACAGGTGTGCATTACAGTCAGTCTCATCCTTTTATGTTTCCTTTGAAACATAAACCTCCCTCACAAATGTTGCTACTCATCATCAGTTTCTTCTTGCACTCCTTATTGAAAGAAAGTGGAATTAGGAAACTATTGTGTTAATAGTAGCCTCTCCTGGAAGAGATTAGTTAAAGTAGATAAGGTTTGGTTTGTTCTCTCAGGGAAATTGACTGAATCATCTTTCTGATGTTCTTTTCTGTCAGTATATCTCCGCAAACTTTCTGATGAAGAGCAGCCTCTGCGTCTTCGACTGCTAGCTGGACCTAGTGAAAAGACACTGAGCTTTGTTCTGAAGGAGAACGAAACAGGAGAAGTCAATGTGAGTATGGGTATCCATGTTTACATATGTAAAATTGAGAAAGTAGCATGCTTGTTTTCTGATGCTCCAGAGGCTAGGACATGGAGCAGTAGATTTCAAATGACAGGAAAAGAGATTCTACCAAGACCTTAGAAAGAAATCCCTGATGGTAAGAGCTATTTAACTGAAGAAATTATTTTATATATATTTATACATGAGTCTACATGATTTTTAGGGACAGTCACCTGAAGAGAATTAATTATAACTTTCAAAATACATATTCCATCATTAGCTGATGTTGTAAAACAATTGGAAAGTGTTCACAGAAAAATAATTGCAGGAAAATTTCCACTCCACATCATTTCATATAAGTCAACCTTGCCACTGTCCATCTCTATTTCATGACATATATTTTTTAAAAGGCAGGACAATTGTTCTATAGCAATGGTCTTTTAACTTATTGCCAGAAAAATCAGTAGTCACCCTCATATAAAGTAGCCTCTGATAAACCCAGACTATCATGTCACCTCCTAACCTCTTCTCCAAGCTAAATATACTCAGCTTCCCTAAGCTCCTCATAGGGTATGGTTTTAACACACACATACATACATACACACACACACACACACACACACATGCTCCACATCCAACCAGGTCTCTGTAATACATGTCAGGTCAGTATGTTAATCTAGGATCAAGACCTGAATGGCAGCAGTTTTGCCATTAACGGTGTTTTCAACTTAGGTGGACTGCTGCCATGGCTATCCAGATTATTTGGAATGAGAAACAGTTTGTATATGACAACTCCTTATTGTTTACTATACTCCTAGAATAGTGCAGCCATTTCTCACTTCAATATGTCCTTTGGCTCTATATACCGTAACTTGGATGACTGCTGCCTGAGCACCATTGCCTCCCTTTGGTGTCAATGCAGTTCCCTTCCTTGTTGTTATTGTACTGTTATATATATTGTAAAACGATAAAAGCAATATATTTTTAACACTCATTTTTCTTCCCCTTAAAAATGGTCAGCAGTTTATCCTACCAGGGCAGTATCCATAGGCAGGCAAATTGTTCTTATCTGCTAATCAGCAACAGAACAGGCCCGTATGCTACCACCAATAGGGTAACCCTCCTCCCCTTTGGAGTCATCCCTTTCAGCAATGTTCTCACTAGCAGACCCACCTCCATATTAGTCCCACTTTTATTCTCCAGCCCAAGAGAACTAACTCAGTGTAATGAGGAAACCTGCTGGGAGATTGCTGGCGGCATCTCAGTCCTGCAAAGAAGCAACTCATTGTTGTGGTAAAAGTGTTTCAGAGTAAAGGAGGAGGTAGCAGATGGAATATGCAGCAGTTGGCAGCCTCCCTGTCCTTCACTCCCAGATGGTGTTTGGGTCCTCTCTTTTTTCAGGAATGTAGTCTAGTGGTTCCTTGCTAAAATTGATCTAAAATTTTGCAGCAAGTATTAATATCAGAGTTCAGAAAGTGAATATAAGACACAGAGAACAATAATCGGGTTGAACAAATTTATCATGTGTGCTGCGGATTCACTCTATTTTTCAGGAGCATATTGGCAAGATAGAGCAACTCAGACTATTGCTTAGTTTGCAGAGGCTATAGGGATGCCTTAATACTTATAGGCACTTTGTAATCAAACCTTTTTGTAAGTTTTGAAAGTGCTAGTTCTGGATATTCCTTTCAGTAAAGGTTCATAAAGGTGCCAACTGTGTTATGTTATATATATAATCTCTAGTTTTTCTTCCTATTCTTCATTTTTCCCCTGACTTCTCTATCTTATCCCACGTATGTGCCTCTCATTACTATGGGGGCTGTGTTTCTCTTTCTTGAACTGAAACTCAGTTCCTGACTGTAATGTGAGCCCTCTTGTACCCACACTGTTGTTACTGCTTGCTTTTTATACTTGTCTGCAGTGGGATGCCTTCAGCATGCCTGAGCTGCAAAATTTCCTGCGTATCCTGCAGCGCGAAGAAGAGGAACATGTTCGGCAGATCCTGCAAAAATATGCCAATTGCCGCCAAAAGATGCAAGAGGCCTTGGCTACCTGCACACCAGGTTGACAGACTGCCCCATCCCCAGTCTGGCACTCCAGTAAATGGAAGATGGCAGATGCACAGAAGCGGTGAAACCGAATGGACCACAAGTGAAGCAATCCTGGGACTGTCTGTGGACTGAATGTATCCTGGAGGGGGTGGGGAAGGGAGAACAGGAATGTGTGGATCTCCTTGTGAGCCCATGATTGGTGCATGTGTGTGTGCTCTCCATGGAGTGAGTGGTTAATACAGATGTTGCATGCATGACACAGTGGGATCAGGGAGGGAAGTAAGAAAGTGTCTGTGGGATGTATCTGAAGAAAAAAAAATCCTTAATAATAGTGTTGTAACAGCTGCTTTTGAAAGTGCCAAGATGCTATGCCAACTGTACCCACAGACTGGCTGAGTTTTGTTCATCTGGGCTTGAGTCTAAAGATGATTTAAGATTCTGAATGTAACATCAACCAAAGTGACCTAAAACTCAGGTGTAATTCCCGAGAAAATAGATGTACTTGACAAGCACTTTCCTCTAAAATGTTGGCTTTATGTTTTTTAATCTGTCTTGGTTTGAAGTCTTTCTTGGACTCATCATACAAAACAAAGGAGAATAAAATCTGTCTCACATCTGAGTCAGGGAGAACAATTGGACCGAAATCTCGTGGCTTGTGATCAAAATCAAAATGCCAAAGGAAGCTCCAGTAATAACTCAAAAGGAAAGCCTGAAGAGTTCTTGGTAATTATTCTGACACAAAAAAGAACATGTAACTCCAAAGACATCATTATTGCAGTTCTTACTGTTAGTCTTAAGATGACTGTTGATCATGTTGATTTTGAAGAAACAAAGTCAATAAATGACCCATACAGAATAGAGTAGCTCTCCAAGAACTGAAAATATACCACAGAGGAAGGAATAAAGGCTCTTTTTCTTTACCGGGAATGTCTTTTTTCAGCCCAAGGTATGGAAACCAGTGGCATAATAAATCTCAAGATTGCTGAATACTGAAGCTTGTGTGTGCACACATGCATGAAGAACCCATTGGTGTCTGTATAAGGGGCCAGCTTAACATAAACGGGACCATGCCAGAACTTCCATCATGATTGCAGTTGCATTTATATGGAAGGCCATAGATAACACCTGCAGTAAACATCCTTCTATTTTAAAAGTTACAAACATTCTCCAGAGCAGATATCACTAGTAGTAACTGGTTCTGCTGGATGATTGTCTCTTTGAAACCAACCTAATGGACTCAGGTTATAAATGCTGCTGCTTATATACCAATCAACAAAGATTCAGAGGATGAGAAAAGCCAAGTGTAAGTACTGATTCTGTTGCCGGGACAATAAGAACAGTCCATCACACTAATCTGTCTTCAGTATGAAGCCTACTTGTAGTTCTATTGTGGGCCTATTCATGTTGTGCTTTGTAAATGTGACCCTTTGCCACCCCTCACTCAGATTCTGGTAAGGAGATGACCAGTACCAAGTCAAATCACAGAATTGTGATAAATTGCATTCATTTCACTGTTGAAATTCAATTGGTCTAAATTAGTTTAGTAATAACATTAATTTTGGTCCACAGAATTGGTAGAAGGCAATCAGAATGTATGTGCAGAAACAGTAGCTCACGTGCATAAATGCCACAGAAAATAATTGTCCACCATCAGACCATTGATTTCTTGTTCCAATTTTGACTGACAAAAGTTTGTTCACAGGCGTGATACTATTGATATGGAACTGAGCAATTGATCCAGGTACATGAATTAATAGAAGAACACTAATTGATGGCCAAGCTAGAGCATAGAAATAGAAAAACAATATGATAGATTCTGTCTTCTGATTATTACTTAATATGCTGGTGAAAGAGGAATACCATAATACTTTTCTTGCAGTATGTGAGGAATATCCAAGAAAACCTTTGCACTTAAAGCAAAGTCCTGGGGGGCGGGGCGGGGGGGAACCCCATAGCTTTGTTTAATCAAAGTGATTACAGAGTTGAATTTCACTTGATGTAGAAAGGAAAGAGATGACTGAGCTTTTAGGGATACATGCTTAATCCAAATATTGCTGTAACTAGTATCAAAAACAAAACTGCAATACTGCCATTCTGAGAAATGCAGATACAGGAGTAGATGTGTTCCTGGGCATTAGGACTTTAACAGAAAATCTGGTACCATACACAGAAATAAATGGAAAGAATAGAGATAGGTTCTTACACCACAACAAAAAAAGCAGTACAACATACTTCAGCAAACTATTCAAAACTAACAATGTGCACATATCAGATTGATTCAGGTAATCTGGTCTAAGTAAACAAAAACATGTTGAATCTTCTAAAGATCACTTGAAAGTTTCTTCCAAAATCTATCCAAGAATGATTTTTTGTTTACCAGACTACTTTTTATGATTTTCATTTTGATAGGCAAACACAAAGATCTATGGATTTTTTTAACCTTTTCTATTAGGTTTAGCTCATGTGGAACACTTATTTCAAAATTTTCTGCTTTGCTGTTTAAGCATACTTAATAAAGAATGCTGGAGGCAGCTGCAGTTTATTGTGCATGTTGCACAAATAGCTACCGTAGATTGACTATCATAAAATCCCATTCTTTCTCAGCTCAAGGTTCTCATAATTGTTTACTACAGCATATAGTTTTAACCAAATACTGAGTCTGTTTCAATCTTTCCGGTGCTGAGGCTGCTAAAAAATCTCCAGAGGACAAAGGGAAGAAGGAAAGTTGAGCAGATGTAAACACTTCATAAAAAGGAGCTTTTTGCCAGAGGTCCTGTTAACTGAGGTATACCTCAGTGTAGCCAAAAATAACCCAAGTCCTCAATATCAAAAGGGTATGATCCTCTTTCCATGAATATAGAGGACACTTCTTTGTAAGAAGACATTTCTTTTGGTGTAGTGATTCTTCATTGTGGCCCTTCATAACCTCTAAAATTATTTCTAGTTATTAATTGGCCCTTCTGTTTCTCCGATTGTGATTTTCAAGCAAGGAGTAATGTATAAACTCTTCAATTGGAATAAAGTGAGTAGGAATATTAAAAAGGGATTTGGCCAACTAGAATAAATGGAATCTTGATATGCTAGTATTTCTGTCAAGCTTACTTATTTCATGCTGGTTAGGACTAGGATTCAGACAAGAATAAGAAGTTAAAGGAAATTCCTTGGGGCACTCTGGGACAATAAGCTTCAGCTAGGAATTTGAACCATGAGGAATGGCTCTGGGCTTGTACAGCTGAAAAAGCATGGTTTTTCCCTGACATGAATTCCAGTTGCGTCCTGACTCTGGGGATTGGTGCTCATTTCCATTTCTAAGCCGAAGAGCCAGCGTTGTCCGTAGACACCTCCAAGGTCATGTGGCCAACATGCCTGCATGGAGTGCCGTTATCTTCCTGCCAGAGCGGTACCTATTGATCTCACATTTACATGTTTTCAAACTGCTAGGTTGGCAGAAGCAGGGACTAACAGGAACTCACGCCACTCCCCAAATTCAAACCTGTAACTTTTTGGTACGTAAGTTCAGCAGCTCAGTGGTTTAACCCACTGTGCCACAAGGGGTTTTACTAGCAGAAACACTAGCATATCAAGATTCCTTTTATTGGATAAGTGTACTGTAATTACCCAATATGTCAGTTGCCAGAGAAAATCTTCCTCTTTAGTTAGTGTTTACTGTTGCAGCCAGCTACACAAGCTAGATATAATTAGATTCAAGGTATCATTGGGGACACCTAAAAGACTAAATCCAACCAACACTCAAGACACTACACTGCGCTGGCTGCCTTGCACCTAAACAATTTCCTTATATTCACTCTTTAGTTTGTGGTCTGGTCGCCATCTACTGGGCACACAAAAAAAAATTAAGGTAAATAGTATGAGGTAGATTTGGAATTAAATAAAGTAGCACAACTGACTGCTGAGAAAAGTCTCACAAATCCAATTTGGAAATTATTGCCCTATTTGACCTGGCTTTATTCTCTCTCATTGATGTCCATAGCCAAATCTGGATATCCTATTTTGATAGACTTTGTGTGATTATAATCAGGATAATAACCTAATTATTATAAAGGCAAAAGGTAAGTGAAATATCAGTAAGTAGGAATATTTGCATAATCCATAGATGTTGGGCTACAAGTGAAAGCATTGCTTTGGACAACCATTGGTGTGTGTCAAACCATTGATGAACTACATTGAACCATTTTGTGTAATGGCAACATGTTACCATTGTAAAATATACTGCTTTGAAATTGGATCCATCATTTTGAAACAGCCCGAATGCCCTGTGTGTGCCTGACCTCAATTCTTAATCCTCTACCAGAGCAGTTGCTTTGCTTGGGGCTCTTCCACTTTTACTTTTCTTGAGCAATAATGGAGCCTTAGAGTCTTCTTTGCATATGATTTTCCTGCTTCTTGGCAGGTGGTTAGACTGGATGGCCCACGAGGTCTCTTCCAACTCTAGGATTCGTTTTGCTCCTCTCCTGCAGTGCAGGCTTCAGGCTTGCCTCTACCAGGTTTACAGTTCCCAAAGGATTATTCATCAGTTGCACTATGTGTGGAGGAAGAATCCTGGATGGACAGTCCTTTCACTTTCAGTGGTCTTGGTGAAGACTCTTGCACCCACTGCCAGTCCTTTACCCCCACAGTCCATCATAATTGGGAGTCTGGCTTGAAAGCTTTGCAGTGAAAGATCACTAACCACTGAATTAGCCACCAAAACCAGACATCTCTACACTGCTGGGCATATGCTCAGCAACTTCACCAAAGCCCATTATAATCCCAATGTTCTCAATTCTAGTGTCAACCTTAACAACTTAGACGAGTCGTCTTAGGGTACAAAGGCATATTGTCTGTAATGGTGGCTAATGGCATCTATGTAAGTGAGGCAGTGAATCCACTCCAGGTTTTAGTCTGAACTTTAAAGGAGTAATCCAATGAGCTATTTAGTGAGTCACCTTCAGGTTCTTGAACAGCTCCTTTAAATTCAGACTGAAATGGAAGCCATCATTACCAAGGAGCTCTGAGAAAAATTCAGAGCTCTCTTGAGTCCATAGTTGAAATGGTTATCACACACTACACATTTGATTATTGTTTGAGGATTTTAAATTACAGCAAATTTGCCAAAAGTTAAGCCTTCCCAGAAAAATAGGCCCACGGCTGGGGGTTTTTAAATAGAGGTTGGATGACCATCTATCAGGAATGTTTTAAGAGTTGAATTGGGTTGGAAGTGGGTTGGAATGGACACACCCAAAAGTATTTCTGTTTTCCCTATATTTGATTCCTGAAAGTGGGTTAATCTCTGACCCTGGAACCCCAGGTTTCAGCAGTGGCTAGGGGGGCTTTTGTACAATTAAAACTTGTGCACCAGTTGCACCTGTACCTTGGGAAGTTAGACTTGGCAACAGTAGTCCATGCTTTGGTTACATCCCAAATAGATTACTGTAACATGCTCTACTGGGGGTTGCCTTTGAAGACTGTTTGGAAGCTTTCAGTGGTCCAATGGGCAGCAGCCAGATTGCTCACCAGAGCAGGGTACACACCAGCTCCACTGATTGTCCATTTGTTACCAAGCACAATTCAAAGTGCTGACTTTAGCCTATAAAGCCCTAAACGGTTCAGGTCCAGCTTACCTGTCTGAATGTATCTCCCTCTATGACCCATCTAGGAACTTAAGATAGTCTGGGGAGGCCCTGCTCTCAGTCCTGACTCCTTCGCAGATGCGGTTGGTGGGGACGAGAGAAGGCCTTCTCAGTGGTGGCCCCTCAACTATGGAAATCCCTCCCCAGTGAGATCAGATCAGCCCCTTCTCTCCTGATCTTCAGGAATAAACTTAAGACGTGGCTTTGGGACTAAGCTTTTGACGATTAATTGGAGCAGTGCAATAAGTGACTATGAAACAATGTGATTGACAAATGGAATGGCCCTGGATTATGATTTGGATGGCAGGACGGCCATCTGCCGAGGCTACTTTGATTGTGTCTTCCTGGGATGGACCGAATGGCCCTTGGAGTCTTTTCCAACTCTAGGAATCATTAAACTTTTGTACTTTTTTTTTCTTTTTGGGTAGGCTGGTTAGCCTTTGTTGTTGTTCATTCGTTCAGTCGTCTCCAACTCTTCGTGACCTCATGGACCAGCCCACGCCAGAGCTCCCTGCCGGCCGTCACCACCCCCAGCTCCTTCAAGGTCAGTCCAGTCACTTCAAGGATGCCATCCATCCATCTTGCCCTTGGTCGGCCCCTCTTCCTTTTGCCTTCCACTTTCCCCAGCATAATTGTCTTCTCTAGGCTTTGCTGTCTCCTCATGATGTGGCCGGAGTACTTCAACTTTGTCTCTAGGATCCTTCCCTCCAATGAGCAGTCGGGCTTTATTTCCTGGAGGATGGACTGGTTGGATCTTCTCGCAGTCCAAGGCACTCTCAGAAGTTTCCTCCAACACCACAGCTCAAAAGCATCTATCTTCCTTCGCTCAGCCTTCCCTAATGGTCCAGCTCTCACATCCGTAGGTGACTATGGGGAATACCATTGCTTTAACTATGCGGATCTTCGTTGCCAGTGTGATGTTTCTACTCTTCACTATGTTACCGAGATTGGCCATTGCTCTCCTCCCAAGAAGTGTCTCCTGATTTCCTGGCTGCAGTCTGCATTGATGTTTACACATGGTATTTACTTTGTTTCGTTACCCCGAACATGGCGAACTTCGCCGGCTGCCAAAAGGAACCGGACGTTAGTGTCGAATCCCACTAAGACCGCATCCCCTTTGGCGGCGAGGGGAACGCTTTCCGTCTTCGGCTCGCACTTCCGGTGGATAACGGAAGTGGCCTGTCGAAGAGGTGGGCTGAGTCGCCTGGCGCTGAGAGGACGCCGCCGTCCGCTCTCCTAGAGGCCCGTCCCTCTCTCCCTCCCTCCCTCCCCGCCATGCCTCCTCGGCCGCCGCGCTGAGGGGAGCGAGCCATGGGCGCCAGCGGCTCCAAGTCGCGGGGCCTGTGGCCCTTCGGCTCGGGCGGCCCAGGGGGCTCGGAGGGGCCCGGCGGGGAGCAGGCCCTGTCCCGCGCGCGGGGCCTCTGCTCGGCCACCCCCTTCGTCTTCACCCGCCGCGGGTAAGGAGGGCGAAGGGCGAGGGGACGGGCCTCCTCCTGAGGGGAGGGGAGGGCAGGGAAGGGAAGGGCAGGCCGCGAGTGGCGGGGTCCCCTCCCAGAGCAGGCCCCCATAGGCCCCCGCCTGGCGGGCCGGGCCGGGCCGGGCCGGGCTCTCCCCCATTACACTGACCATTCAGTGCAGCCTCAAACGGGTATCAAAGAAGAAAGTGGTTTCGCCCTGCACATAGGCCCGGATGAGGATCATTACACAGGGTTGCCGTGAGTTTTCCGGGCCCATGTTCCAGACGCATTCTTTCCTGGCGTTTCGCCCACATCTATGGCAGGCATCCTCAGAGGTTGGGAGGTCTCATGGAAACAAGACAAGTGGGGGTTTCTATATCTGTGGAAGGTCCAGGGTGGGAGAAAGAACTCTTGGCTGCTTGAAGCCAGTGTGAATGTTGCAGTTGGCCACCTTGATTAGCATTGAATGGCCTTGCAGCTTCAAAACCTGGCTGGTTGCTGCCTGGAGGAATCCTTTATTGGGTGGTGTTAGCTGGCCCTGATCGATTCTTGTCTGGAATTCCCTTGTTTTCTAAGTGTTTCCCTCTATTATTTATTTACGATATTTCTACCCTGCCTTTCCAAACCAGGTGACTCAAAGCAGCTTACAACCAGGTAGCCATTTGATGCCTAACAACATAAAATTAACAGAATTAAAAGTACATTCAATAAGGCCAATGCCTTCATTGTTAGTCTCATTGTCCAAAAAATCATTGTCCGGGATGTTCCAATGTTTCCTTTTGTCTAATTCTGTGTTTGACTGTTGAATTAGATTCCAAAGGCTTGTTCAAATAGCCATGTTTTCACTTTTTCACTTGATCTAATATCCCTGGGGAGGGTGTTCCACAACTGAGGGGCCACCACTGAGAAGGTGGTGTTTTTTTTAATACTGGTAGCCAGATTTTGTTCATTTTCATGGTTTCTTCCTTTCTGTTGAAATTGTCCACATGCTTTTCGGTGGCTTCCCTGTGTGGTCTGATTATTATTTAATGGCCATTTGATGCTAATCAAGGTGGCCAGTTGCAACATTCATATCCACCTCAAGCAGACAAGAGTTCTGTCTACCACCCTGGACATTATTCCACAGATATATAAACACCACTTGCCTAATTTCCAACAGGCCTCACAACCTCTTGAGTATGCCTGCCATAGATTTGGGTGAAACACCAGGAGAGATTGCTTCTGGGACATAGCCATGCAGCCTGGAAAACTCACAGCAATCCAGTGATTCCAGCCACGAAAGCCTTTGACAACACATTGATCATTACACAACTCACAGAGTACCCAAGGCTTTCCTTTGCACGTTTTTGTGGGAGTTCGAGGTTTGTCTGCTGCAGTTGGGATCTAGCACTGCCCTGCATTCAATACTCAGTGGAGATGGCCCTTCATTTGCCCCCTGCAGGTTTCCTTTGAACTGAGGAAGGTGGGGAGGGACTGGAGAAGAGGGTGAGCGTGGCAGCTGCCAGGCTAGGAGGGCTGCTGTTGTGTCTGGGTGCAGCTGAGCGGGGTGGTGGGGCTCCCTCCAGTGGCCATGGCGCCCTTGCACTCTTTCTAACTACTTCATCACACTAGAGAATTAATTCATTTTAAATCTGGTTTCTGTCTCCTACAGAGTTCTGGGGTTTGTAGTTTAGTGAGGTTGTTAAAGGCTCCTCCCTAAATTACAAACTCCAAATTCTGCAGGAGACAGAAACCGGATTTAAAGTTGATTCATTATCTAGTGTGATGAGGTCCTAAGGAAGCCCTGAAAAAGTCCCAGGGACCCTGCTTCCTCCAAACAGGTAGAGTGTCCCTCATCAGGAATGCTGTGGTCCTGAAAGTGATTTGGATTTTGGAATATCGCAGGAAAATTGATTCCATCTGCACCTTCCTGGCAGTTAGAGCTGTTCTGCAGTGGAATATGCTGCCTCAGAAGTCTTCTTCTCTGTCAGATAGAACAGGCATGGGCAAACTTCGGCCCTTCCGGTGTTTTGGACTTCAACTCCCACAATTCCTAACATCCTGTAGGCTGTTAATAATTGTGGGAGTCGAAGTCCAAAACACCTGGAGAGCTGAAGTTTTCCCATGCCTGCCTGGGATAGACCATCTGCCAGGAGTGCTTTGGTTGTGGGTGTGTTAGGGAAAATTACTTTAAAATAAAGCAGAGCATCCAAAAACAAACAGAATACAAAAGTTGAGCATTAACTCAATAGTGAGCAAAGCGTGAAGTACCAAGTGATGTGGCTGTAAAGAATTCAGAGTTTAGGAGACAAACATTCAGAGTCCAATCTTAAAAATCACAAAAGGTTTATTTACAATAATTAGGACTAACTACATTTCTTCTGAGAAATAGTAAACAATAACTGCATTTCTTAATAATCAAGAACAGCCTGAGCTGCTCTTAACCCCCATCTTTTCTAATGTTTCAAAGAGAGGGAAAAACACCAATCCCTACACCTCTCCTGACAGACACCCCGAGTGAGATCTCTCAAAGCACACAGCACATACTCCCCATACTAAAGTGTAAGAAGGCAGATTCAAAAAGGCTTGCAGTAAAAAAGTATCCATTCTACACAACTAATCAGAAAATGAGCAAAAGGGGGGGGGGGCACAAAATAGATACATTCCAACTGCCATTCAGGAGACATGGGGGAAGGAAAACCTTCAGACTAGTCTAATGCTAACTAGAGATTTGGTCAGTGTGGGGTTGAATCCCAACAGTGTGTTCCTGCATGGCAAAAGGGGGTTGGACTGGATAACCCTTGGGGTATCTTACAGCCCTAGGATTCTAGGATTTATAGTTCACCCAGCATCACAGTTACCAGATGCAACATATGATTCTATATATTCAAATTTGCATATATGTTTATAGAATTGTAGAGTTGAAGGAGACCTCGAGGGCCATCCACTTCATTCTGTCATTCGGGAACGTGCCGCCAAAGTACTCTGAATGGATGGCTTTTTAGCCAAACCTCCGGATAATGAGACTGTCAAGCTCTTAACATCAGGAAGATAATGAGATATCAGGGAGATAGGACCTAAAACTAAGGTTGTGTACATTGAACCATCAAAAAGCAAAGGTGTCACTCTCAACCACCCATGTGGACAATTTTGGAGGGTTTTTTTTGGGGGGGGGGGTTCATTATTCTGCATAAAGTACACTGCATGTGCCTTCATGTCAAGGTAGAAAAACCCCATGGGTTTCAGAGGGGTTTCTTAAGCAAGGAATCCTCAGAGGTGATTTTGCCAGTTCCTTCCTTTGATGTATATCCTAGTTCCTTCATTATTTGCACTAACACCATAACCCCTCTGGCCTTTGGTAGCAAAAATACCACTGAAGGCCAGAGGGTTTCCTGGTGTCAGTGCAAGTCAATTCCCACTTAAGATGACCCTGTATTACGGTGTGCTTGGTAAGATTTACTCAGAGGTTTATGATTTTGTTCTCATTAGTTCTGATAAAATATGATTTGCCCAAAGACACAAAGTGTTTTTTGGTAGCTGAGCAGAGACTTTGAAACTTGGTCTCATGGAGTTGTCATCCAGTGCTGAAACTACTACACAACACTAAGCAAAAGACACACCCATTTGTTTTCTGCTCAACACATTGGAAATTAATAACGGAAAGTAATGGTTACAGGTGATGGTTTCAAAGAAAAAAAGTGAATGTTGGTTTCCAGTTCACGTTTCTTCTTATTTTTAATGTTGAGGATAAATTGGATATCTAGTGTTATTGTCCATGCTCTGTTGGCTGAGTCCCGGATGCCCAAAATTATTCCTTTCTTCCCAAGCTACTGCGATGTGTTGTTTAATGAATCTATTGTTGCCAGGCCTGAAGATTTTAGCTACAACAGTCTGCAGCTATGTAACACCTTTGAGGAGTGCTCATAGTTTGGAAATGTCTGATTTATAGAGAAGAGAGACATCAGATTTCCCCATGAAGGGAAGCTCTATTCACCCCTTCACCCAGACTGAGGTGATTTAGCAGTTTACAAAGCCATCTGATAAAAACTAATGTACCTTGGTGAACTAGGAAACAGAGTATCTAGAAAAAACTGTTTCTTTTCAGATCTTAAATTAGTAAAAACTAATATGTTCTGGTTTGTTCTAGATTTCCTGAGTGATGACTAGCATTTCAATCTCCACTCTTGCTTGGAGACTAGCCAAGTTTGTTGAATCAAATGCAATTACTGTCTGCAAAAGTTTCTTTGTCATGGGAGTGAAAGTATTAATTCTGAACTGTGTAGGCTTAGTTATCCTCTCTCTTATTCCATCTCCCCATCTAATCTCGTCTCCTGCTGTTTGTCATTAAGTATAAAGAAATACATGGTAACAGTTCACAAGCATGATGTAATCTGAGACTTCCTTTGGGTTTTCCTCTAGTTTGCCAAGGCAAAAGAAGGAAAATGCAGGGATCCTGTTAGGTTTGTGATTCTGAACGTTGCTTTGCTGAAGACGCTGAGGCTCTCAGTGGAGAATGGCTATATTTAGACTTGGCAGCTCTCTGATTTATGAGTTTGGGCAGTGCATAAAAGTGGCAAAAATACCACTTCCAACAGCAAGTTTCTAGCTAGAGCAGCTGATATTTGCATTTCAGGAGCGATGGTTTCATCATCCCTAACTCTTATCTTCAAAATATCTAAACAAAGCAGTCTCAAATCAATTGCTTAATTTGTTTTAAATAATTATGTTTTAATGATACAGATATGATAATTTTATGCACATTAATTTTACTATAAAATAAAATTGTCATGAACTAACACTTCTATCTGATGAAATTGGCATTTGGTTACTTAAATAGTTCACCAATACAGCTTACTATACCTTGCAGACAGTTGTGCTGAACTTTGATGGATTATGGTCATATGACAGCACTTCATTTTGTAGTTGTTTTGCCAAAACTTGACTTATAAAAATAGGAATTTGTTCAGTGTATTACGGAGGTGGGGGACTTAGTATTTCCAACTGGTGTTGGACTCCAACCTTTCATAAACTTCTGCCAGGACAATCAGTGGTCAGAGAATATAAGTTGTTGTTCAACAGTGTCTAGAATCAATATCTTGTAGGCTTCTAAGTTGAGTTATTTGCTCACTCTCAGATTCTTATATTACTCATGTGAGTTTCTTGGTTCTTATTTAGTTAGTAAACTGAATGTTTGGACTCCATCCAATGATTGCTAGTCCATTAGTCCTAAGACTCCAGTTTGTTGTTGTTCCTGTGTGCCTTCAGGTTGTTTACAACATAAACTGAACCTATCACAGGGTTTTCTTTGCAAGATTTGTTCAGAAGTAGTTTGCCATTTCTTTCCTTGGCGACTGAGAGAGTGCGACTTTTCCAAGGTTACCTGGTATTTTTATGGCCAAGCAATTATTTGAAAGCCGGTCTCCAGAGTCATAGGCCAACACTCAAACTGCTACATTATGCTAGCTCCTTAAATCAAAGTGCCCATAATATTCTAATAGACATTATCTGTCAGCATCCGTTAAAATCATGTATTTCAGACCTGAGCAGGAAAGTTACAAAACAGTCTGCTTAACTGTTATTGAAATCTGTAATTTATTTACAGGCATCTTGCTGCTTGGATAGCCCTGTGTTGTGCCCTTTATCAAAGAGAAAGAGCACTCTGTGGAGGGCAGGAATGTAGTTAAGAGCAGAGGAAGTGAGATTCAGATTTAGTGTGACATAGGGCATTTAATAAGGTGAAGCATTACTCCAGTGACTTGGAGTTCTTCATCCCAAAATAAATTGGGAGTATCCTTTTGTTCAGGTTTCTCAAAATAATTTAGTGTCACTGCATAAGGTTCTAATATCTGTTCTCCTTAGAAGGTTTAGATTCTCTATTTAACAATTGGCATGTAATCTCCTAAATGAACTCTTCCCTTATTGTGCAGGGAAGTGGGAAGCAGCAAGAAGTGCTCTCTACTTGACATGCTGATAGCCATCAGTTTCAGCACTGGAAGACGAATCCATTGCCTTCTCTCTTGTTGAATACTTTTTTTCCTGACTGTCTGTGTGTGCTTGTTTTTTGCAGCTCTATGTATTATGATGAGGATGGTGACCTTGCCCATGAATTTTATGAGGAAACAATAGTAACCAAGAATGGGAGGAAGCGTGCTAAGCTGAAAAGAATCCATAAGAACCTGATACCTCAGGTAACACAATCAGAAGACAAGTGGGGGGCTATAATAGTTTGGTTTCAAACTACACACTTAATGCTTTTGTATTTTTATGGGGCGCCTCTTAGTTTACATAATGTGTGGTTCCAACAATCAAATTTTTCCCACTCACATAGTGATGTCGAAGTAAAGTAGGGAAAATCTGCTGTTTCATAGCATCCTGTGTCTCCAGTACCTTCCTTCAGGCCTTGCAGTATTCTTCCTCCTGCTGCCACTACTTAGGCCAGTAGTTAGTGTGACAACAGAATGCCAGCTGCAGTGTTGATGGAAATCACTGGGGTGTGAAGGAAGTTAAGCTTTCTCCAATCCCCAGTGATTTTGGATCTAAGACTATTATTTCCAAGATGAAGAGGTTGAGTGCCCCTGCTTTGTTCAGACAGCCTTTTGAATTGAGAAGCTTATCACTTTTGTCTTTCCTACTGAAATTTTACTATAATAGAAAGCATCCAAGTCCCATTGGATCCAGTTGTGTAACTATGAGGGTTGGGTGGATGAAATGTTCTTCAGTCTCCAGATATCTAGCAGAGTGAAACATTGATAATCATTCACATCTGAACTTCAGTATTTATTCTGTCTACATGCTTTTGGTAACTGTGTCTGCTCCTTTTATTTCAATATTTACACTGTACAGGTTGCGCATCCCTTATCTGGAATTCCAAAATTTGAAATACTTTGAAATCTGAAATTGTATGCATGAGAGGCTGAGATAGTGACACCTTTGCTTTCTGGAGGTCAAGTGTTCACAAAATTGTTTCATGTACAACATTATTTTAAAATATTGTATATAAAATTACCTTCAGGCTATGTGACTAAGATGTACATGACACATACATGAAATTTGTGTTTAACTTTGTGTCCCATTTCCAAGGTATCTCATTTTGTATGTATATACAAATACAGGTATTCCAAAATTGGAGGTGGGGAATGGGATCCAAAACACATCTGGCTCTGAGACTACAAGTGATCCTCCAGATTTACAGATTTGACTTTTGCAGATTTGATTATTCATCGATTTAATTTAGAAATATTCTTTCCAGGAATCCCTAGGTCCTTCAGTGCAACTCTGTAGTTAACTTCTACTGGAAATTGATCATAGAGTCATTCTGGAAACCCAAAGATTCTGAGTGAGAACACCTCACAAGGAACGTCTTGGTCAGCCAGTACAGTTCTCTGATCAATGCTTGATGTAAATTGACCATAAAATCAGACTGGAGAACCTATTCCTAAAGAGGTGTACTGTCAGGTTAAAAAATAGCAATTTTATTATTTGTGGTTTTTACTTTTGCGGGGAGTTATGCAGGTCTGACTGTAATTAAAATGTTTTCCCAGTCTAAATTGGTTCATTAATTCTAATGTTTATATTTGCTCCTTGAGGTAAATGTCCAACGTTTTAAATGAAATATCTGTGGTGTGGAGGGTGGGAATTTCAGATAGGGAAGTTTGATGCTGATTTGACCTCTTTCCCTGTGTCATGGTTCTGATCCAAATGAGAGTTCTTGCCCCCACAGCTACATTTATTTCTGATTTTATATTGTGTTTGAACAAATGCTGCCTGAAAGGCAAGTTTTTCGTGCTCCCTTCATCCTTAGTCTTTTTATCTAAATAATGATATTTCTTGTTTAGGTAGAGTTTGTTCTCATAACAAAACTCGAGGTTCCCATTGCTTTTGTAGGCTTTATAGTTGTGGTGATAGCTTCAACATAGTATTGCACTTCACTATTTGGTGTTACTGATAGAGAGCATATAGTTTGTAGTTTGATTAGAAGAGCATGTTGTTGTGTCCCTATCTCATCCTTGTGGCATATTTTTCTCATTTCTCATTACAGGGCACAGTGAAACTGGAGCATCCTCGGATTCACGTGGACTTCCCTGTTATCATCTGTGAGGTCTGAACCACAGAGGCAGTGTGGACAGCCACTGTGTGCTGTTAATGCACCTTACTTGCCCAGTTGTACTGTACCTCATGCACACCATCCTGTGCAGTTACATGTCCCTGCAGAACAATGGATCAGGAGCACAGTTAAAACGTTTAGCTTTGAAGCATCTCTACTTGAAGGAAGTAACAGCAGCTGCAATCTTCAAACTGGATAGCATTCAGGAATAGCATTGCCTTTAGGGTATGTGTAGATAGGATTTGTGTCACATGACTTGTCTCACTTTGCTTAGGAACCTGCTCAAAATGCCCCCCTTTGAGTCCAGCAAAGTCCTTCTAGTGGGAGTCAGTTGACATTTTGGTGGCAGCAGATTCATGTGTCTTGAGACCATGGAAAACCAACTTTCAACTTTTCCTAATCAGATAATGCTGTTTGTTAAACAACTTTAGTCAGCTTCTGTGAAGGTTGACACCAAAGTTTCTATTTATATGCTGTAGATGAGTAAAGGTGAACAGCAAGGCCTTAGGCTTTCCCACACCTTCTTCTAAAACACAACATGGATTAATGCCCAACATTCTTTGAGGGGAGCAAGGGGTGATATTCAGTACTGCACTTAAGAGGCCAACTGAAGCTGTCCAAGACAGATTTAATCTGGAGATTTCTGTTAACACAGGCTGATCTGTGGACACCTTGTTCTTTTTTATCACATCTCCTTAGGAAGTTCTACCTTTTCATCGCAGGCTATATCTTGTTCAGTTTTGCTGGTTAGAAAAGGCCATTGGCTAGCACCTGTGCTGTGGCAGATCAGTCTTTTAGCAGGAGCACTATCCAAGCAATGTCGTTTTTCTGTTTAGATTACCTTTGCAGGCTAATTCTTGGAAGACATTTGTCAAGCTGCAATTTTATTTCTTAGTCATCTCCCCCTCTGGCAATCTACATCCTGTTGATGTATGGGACAAATTGTCACATCTATCCAGTGTCACCCTTATTTTAGGATAGGTTTTTTAAATCTTCTGAACTGGTTATAGGTGACAGTTACTTTTTGTTCCCTTGTTAACACTAAGGAAATTTTGTTGTTTAGAGCCAGATGGTTGCCTGAGTGTTCTTGACTCCTTTGGCTGTCATACTCCTTCAGTGCATATTAATGGTGTTCTGTTAACTTTCATTGGCAGCCTTTGTAACTGCTTGAATTGGGCCAGGTATTGTCTGATGTCGGATAATGCAGCACAATTCAAAGGAGAGTTGTAGCTCTTCTTCTTGAAGAGTTCTGCCCCTTTCTCTCCATGGGCATTTGTGAAACATTTCATGAGTAGGACCACAACTGCAGGCAAAAATAGCACAAGTAGCTGTGTAAGTACCAAAGTGGTATGCCTGTCTTTTCTCCCCATTTTTTCCTTCCAGAATATAGAACTACCTATCCACAAGACCCAAACAGGCAAAATCCTGTCATCGGCACTGATATCAGTTCTTATGCAGTGTGCAACAAGGAGACCTTTGCCTGCCTCCCTGTCTTTTCTACCAATCCTTCAGAATTTGTATAGAGCTTTAAAGGGATTGTGGTTTGCTTTCACTGTAGGAAGTTTGCTCATTGCACATCATATTTTGTTTGCCAGAGCATGTCATTGCCTTTCTGAGTACTTCAGGCATTTGCTACCTCAACATTTAATTTAATCAGTTGGTACAGAATTGGGCCAGCAGAATCAATTAATCTAGATTGTGTGCACTCTGATTTTTGTACCTGCAAGGGAGTCCTTAGGCATTATGAACCAGACAATAAGGGTGTTTGAGGTATATAACAAATGTTGAGAGGGGTCTTTGTGGTCATTGGCTGTCATCTTCCCCTATGCCAGTACTATTGACTGCGATTGTAGTCTGTAGGATCTATCTTTTTGTGCAGCCAACATGACGGTCTCTGAGGTGCAACTGCTTTGCTATGCAAAATTCATGCTGTGAATTCCGGAACAGCACAGTTACTTGTAAATGGAAACGTGCATCACCTCAGACATTGGGCATCTGTCAGATTTCCATCCCCCACCCCCACCCAAACTCTGCACTGAAACTTACCATTTGGTTCAGCTCCAGGTAGATGATGCTGATGCTGGTCAACTGACATCATTATCCTTCATCAGACTGGGAAATTTCCACTGCTATGAAACAAGAGCATACCAGGGATAGAGGTACACTCCTTGGCAAGCAGAGTATTGTGGTATTGTGGTGCATGATGAGTTGTGAGCTAAAATCAAGGGGGCTATGCGTAAGCAGTATAGTTGAGCAGGGAGGAAGCTGTTGAGCAAGGAACTTGCTCCAGAGCTGGTTGAGAAAAAGCAGGGTTTTTTTCTGTATAGCGATCTAAATGTTCATGCTGGGAAATTCTGCACTCCTTTGCATGAGACCGGAGTCATGGAGAATACTGAGGCTGGGAGGCTCAATGCTTCTACCCTTCCCCCATATTTACATTTCCTGAAAGATTTAATTTATTTTTTCCTTGGCTGCCTTCTTTCTGAGCAAGCAGATACTGTGTGATCAAAAAACAATACTGTGTGATATTGGCTTGCATTTATCTCTGCCACTTCTAGTGCTTTGACACCTACAGCTGGGGATTGGGATGTAAATGGAGCCTCTGACCAGCAGAAGCTTTTTTTCTGCTTGGCTTGAAATCTCCTCAGAGGTGGCAGACTCCCTGGAGCTGACTGGCAGCTGCTCTCAGGCCGTTTCCCCGCAAAGGCTGGCTTGCCCACTGGGACTGCAGCTGTGCCATTAGGCTGCTTGGATTCTGCAATCCCTTTGATGCTGTTTGTATCACTGCGCTTTTCGGCAGCCCTGCTCCTCTTCTGAGCAGCACCTGTTGTCGAGGAGAGGGCTCGTGGAGACTGCTGTATACAGGATAATGCTGATAATGTGAAAGCTGGTGTAAATAATATACATATATAAATATATATTATCACAGTTGTTGGAACAAGCAAAAAGTTATATTTCCTTTTTTATGATTCTTCTGTGCAAATATGTGGTTGTGTAGAAGACTTGGGCCCACTAGCACTACACTTCCTGTAGCGTAAATCTGAGAACCTGAAGACAAATGTGTATCATATTTATGGTCTGTTTCCTCTGCCTTGAAGTGCATTTGTCGAATTTTGTTAAATTTCAATAAAATTATTTCTAAGTCCCAGAACTTGGTGCTTCTTTTGACACTGGGTCTGGAATAGGCCCTACTGGGTCTAAATGGAAACGAATCTCTACCTTTCATGTACATCTGTTCCAGGCAAGCCACCTCAGACAACCCACTAATCCGACTAGAGGTTTAACCTTATTTTTCTGGAAATCCAGTATCCTTGATTTGTGAGGTCTAGGCTAAGGGCGATGCAAACCTATTTCAAAGCTGCACTGATTTTCTAATGATGAAAATTGTGTCCTGAAGGTTTTCAGGGCTTAATCTAAGTTGTATTTCAAAACCAGTTTGCAAATAGAGCAGCCGGCTGTAGCGTCCCCTGCCTACAACATATGCAAATTAAGATTATCCCCTTACTAATCAAGCTTTAAACAACTTTCCTGCCAATGCATAAGAAGCTGCAAAGGAAGAGCTCATATCCCAGGTTTCAACAAAGAAAAACCCCACCAGCTTCTATGTGTAGTATCTACCTTGTGGACTCAGTGTTTGGTGAAAGATTACATAGAACCACAGAATAAATGGGAGCATAGGATCGATAACTGTTTATTAATGGGACAGACTATTTGTATACCATACCTATCACTTGTTCATTATTCCAGTCTGCAATTCATTGGGCTCCACAAGCCTTGAGTCATACTGACCAAAATGAAATAGTACATTAACCCAAACTGTTCAGAGAAGGAAACAGTAGGTGAAGACAGTAAAAAAACAAAAACATATAATAGGATACTCCATTACAGACATCAGAAGAGCTGCAAGGCCAAGAACAAGCCATGAGAGTAAGGACAAATATCCACCCAGAGGAAAAGTGTTCTTACCATACATCAAGGGAACCACTGACCGCATAGGGAAGCTGATGAAGAAACACAACTTACAAACTATCTTCAGACCCACTAAGAAAATCCAACAAATGCTACATTCAGCAAAGGACAAGAGAGGTCCTCTCGTCTCTGCAGCAGTCTACCGTATACCATGCAGGTGTGGATGACTACATAGGGACCACCAAACACGAATCAAGGAACATGAAAGGCACTGTAGATTAACTCAACCAGAGAAGTGAGTCATAGCAGAGCACTTGATGAACCAACCTGGACACAGCATATTATTTGAGAGCACAGAAATGCTGGACTACTCTAACAACCACCATGTCAGACTACACAGAGAGCCATTAAAATCCATAAGCTTGTGGACAATTTCAACAGAAAGAAGGAAACCATGAAATTGAACAAAATCTGGCTACCAGTATTTAAAAATCTCTAAAATCAGGACAGTAAATAAAGAACAACACTCTGAAAACAGAAATTCCAGACATTAATCAATTTACCACCTCCCAACAAAGGATCCCCCTAGGCAGGAATCAGCTAGGCTTTGAAGCTACAAGGCTTTACAATGCTATTGTGATTAATTGCAACATTCACACTTGCCTCCAACAGACAAGAGTTCTTTCTCCAACCCTAGACGTCCCACAGATATAGAAGACTCACTTGCCTAGTTTCCAATATACCTCACATCCTCTGAGAATGCCTGCCATAGATGTGGGTGAAACTTCAGGAGAGGATGCTTTTGGAATGTGGCCATACAGTTCGGAAAACTCACAGCAACCCAGTGATTCACCCCAAATAGTACTTTTTGATATTTTTGATCACATAATAAACTGGTTAATCTTTTATATGTTACCTTGCCATGCTTCAGCAAACAAACATGACTAAGGATCTTGAAGTTTTTAATGTGAGCCACTGTGAATCCCATTTTGAGGAAAAGGCAATATATGAATTAAATAAATACATTTTGCATACAAGTATTGGTGATTAAAATACAAAGGTGGTCATATTCTTTTTGTTCTATCAGATATACCTTATCTGTTTTTAAGGAACACCAGTATAAAACTCATGTGCTATGACCATAATCTCTACAATCACTACTTGACATTATGATATATCAACCGGTATCCTTGATAGTTAACTGCAGAATCTGTCACTTTCAGAATCTGATTTAGATTTGCTAGAGTTTTTTTTAAGCTATAGGTATATCATATTTAATGAAGTCAATGTGATATATCTGTAGCTTTTTATAAAATCATGGCAATTCTAAACAACTTCTTACTTCGTTAAGATATAAATTGGTACCTGGGTAGAAATAACAATGAGAGAAGATGGGTAGCTTCCTACATCTCTGAAAATATGAGTGGTTCAACATGTTTTAGCAAATGTTCTATCCAAAGCTTACAACGTGTACATGGGAAATTAAACTACCATATCAACGTAGTCTTTCAGGAGTAAAAGAAAACTTTGAATCTTCTAGAGAGCACTTGAAAATTTCCGAAATGCATCCAGGGATGATTTTTTCCCTTTCACCAGACTCCATTTTTCATATCATTTCCATTTTGTTGGTGAACATAGATATTTTTGCAAGCATGGTGAAGGGACTGTGTGAGGCATGCTAATATGCGCCCTTTGCTTCTCTCTGTTCTGTTCACATATACCAGTGGTTACCAACCTTTGGTCCTCGAAGCATTCTGGACTCCAACTCCCAGAAATCCCAGCCAGCTTACCAGCTGCTAGGAATTGTGGGAGCTGAAGTCTGAAACAGCTGGAGGACCAAAGGTTGAGAACCACTGACATATACTCAATAAGGGATTCTGGAGGCAGCTGCTGCTTTGTCTTGCCAGTTGTTGGGAGACAGTTACAGTAGAATCTGCTAGAGAAGAATCCCATTCTTTTGCAGGTCAAGTTTTATTGCTTTACTCTGGGCACAATTCTGCAATACAACACCAGCCTTTCTTCATTGTCCTCTTAATGTACTTGCTGATAAGAAATCTTCCAGCTAGACAGAGGACAGGGCTGGGTGGGCTTCAGAAGACTGTAAAAGGGATCTGTTTTGTCAGAGGCTTTGTTAACTCTGGAATGCCTATAATTATATCAGTGCTGTTGAATCTGTGAATGGACACAAGATGGCACTGTAGATGGACTTAATACAGCTGAGAATTATGAAGTGCTGAAGCACAAGGAGCTGGAGATTCATTTATGTATGTAATGACAATCCATTCATCCGAACCTTTCCAAGCAAAGGCTTCAGGGACATACTTCAGATTGGGGCAACAGGAAAGAAAACGATCTGACATCGTCTTAGAACGCTAGAGTTTGAAGAGACTCCAATTGGCCTTTTAGTTCAACCCCATTCTGCTTTCAGTGCTTTGTGCAGGAATACGCAAAGCACTCCCAACAGATGGCCATACAACCTCTGATGAAAAACTTCAGAGAAGGAGGCTCTAGCACACTCCCAAGGCAGCATGTGTAGAAGTGCTGATGTTATACAATATGGGGAGAGAGCATTCTAGTCTTCACAATTGGAACAAAAAGGTAAATTGAGATAAACCCAAGAGATTGCAACTTACTAAGTACTCTTTAGTTACCTGGTAGATGTTGTTTTGGAGTTTCTTAGGCCATGAAGCATGTTACTGCATACCATACATAGAACAATAGTAAATAAATAAATCCACTTTTGTACTAGCAGATATCTTGTAGTACATTGTTTCTTACAATGAAGGATAGATAACATTGTATTTCCGAACCTGGATCCTAGAAAACATTAATCTGGAGATGGTGGCAAAACATCTAACACTCAGCGCTGTTCCTTTAAATGAAGCAATGATAGCAATTTAGTATCTTTAACTGGCATTTCTTTTCTTTTTTCTAATAAATTTTTATTAAGGGATTTTTCTACAACATACATTGGGGGGGGGATAAAAGAGATAAAAATAAAGAAATAAAAATAGAAAGATAAGGTCAATAAGATACAAATAATATTTTTTTTAAAACTGAAAGAAAACTCCAGGGTAAACACCAGGTAAATGGAGATCGGGAAGAGCATGGGGGGGGGGGGAGTTTAGGAATAAAAGGGGAGGGATAAGATAAGAGAGAAAAAGGGGGAAGCGGTTTCTTCCGTTTCTCTTCATAGTGGATAGAGATCAGGTGGCATTTCTTGACTTGAGTCAATTGTATGTCATGATGGCAAACGCAAGCTAGTGTAAAAACAACTTCAACACTATCGATCCTGTAAGTGATTTCAGTTTGGGAAAGATGGCTAAATTTACACATTAGTTTGTTCTTAATTTCATACAAAAGTGACCTCTGTGAAAAAATGAATGTTCTGCGCTGTTCAGATCTTCCAAATGCTCTTGTCCATATTGTTGAATGCACACACAATCAAATACCTACGTTTTCCATTCATGAACTATACACAAGAACCATATCATTTTTCTACAAGGGTAGCAATGTTCATGCAGAGTTTTTTTTTCCCTTGGGAGATGGTGCCAGATGTACAAAGACACTCACTAAATTGCTGCACATCTGTGTTTATGGGGAGAGAAGGATGAACTGCACAGGTGATCCTGGGAAGATCCCTGAGGTTGCTGTAGCCCAGGAGAGGGCGGCTTTCAGCTGTGTCGCATGTGCCCTTCCTATTTCAAACAATCCAGGCTGATGTTTAGGTTTTCAGTTTAATTTCTGGTTTATGTGAAGGAGTTAGGAGTGTGGTTTGGCCCATCCAGCCCAGACAATGAGCGATTTGTTCCAACTTTGCTGTGTCCTGCGATATTTCACCCTCTGCTGAGAGGTTTCCTTGGAATTGTGAAATATGACCAGCTTCTGCTAACCAAATCCATCAGTTTCTGGCTGCTGTGGGCAGGGAAGCTCTATAATCAAGTTGTGGTCTCACTTCTCGGGAGCCGAATAAAGTTATGATCAGGAGAGCTCTCAAGTTACTGTTAATGACTATTAGAAGCTTTTGCATGGGAGAACTGCTAAAGTGGGTTTCATTCTCCTTTGCCATATGACCATTTAGCTTTCTGTATACAACAGAATATGCATTACTTTGGTTTAAGTTGCTGTTGAACCATTTTGTCTCCGTTAAGAGAGATAAATGGGAACACTCTCTTTTTTCTATAGGTTTTAGTGTTAAACAGTCAAGCAGGAGGCATCTGTGCTTTGACAATACAGAAAGCA